ATATCTTTTGATAGCCGGGCACCATCAACTTTCTTCACCACATTTGCTTATGTACCCACTTTGTCTTCAGCGATCTTGTCAGGAAGGTGAGCATCATGGCATGCCAGTTTAATTGAACAAAGTGTTCTTGCATTGAGGGAGAACTTGAGTGAGGCCCAATATCCATCTGCTACCTTAGTACTAAACCTATAAATATATGCATACAGGTCTATTTCTGCATCATTATATAAATATACTTACATATGTACATGCCTGCATTTAGACCTCTATAAATGCCCTTTGCTTCCAAGTTCTTTCCTCTTTTTCCTTTTCCTTTTCTCTTGTCCCACTACCATGGTCAGCCTTCATTTGGTTCTTTTTGATTGTAAAGTTCAAAGGATGTTAATGGAATGATAATAAGTGGAAGAAGAGGAAACGTGGTCTTATAACTAGGTCTCATTCTTTTAGTGAACGTGGGTCCCTAAATTTTGACATTTACAAGTTCTCAGCATTGCTCCCACTCCTACAATCCACCCATAGGTGAAACAGAAGTTGGGTATATCCTTCATACTACGTATGTCCAATCTTAGAGGAGGCTATTTTGGGGCATTTCCCTTTTCTCACATTGGATTCTGAAAGAGTACAGAAGGTGGTATTCTCCTCTTTCATCAGAAAAGCTAATGGGTGTGGAGCTTGGTGAGCCCTCTCTTTCAAATGAGTTAGGAATAAAGCCCACGTTAGCCAAGCTCTGGTAAAGATGTTTACTTTGGAGGAAGACAATTATAAAGAGAACAGAGCATATTTTAAAATAGCTGATTTGCTTCTCCTTCTGCTAGAAGCATGAAAGAAGTTTTCTGGAAGATTACAGAGTTTGGGGCTCCTGGAAGTGAAACTGTAATGATAGTGTGGGTATCCTTATACCTGACCTTCTAGGAATTTTTTTCCCACGATAGTTCACACTCAGGTTTTAGCAACTAGTCAAATGTCTTTTAAATGTTCCTGCCCAACACTGACTGAGTCCAGAAACATTATTAGTTTCCATGAAATAGTAATTCTCTGCATTTCTCTCTTACTCACTTTATGAAGTGTTGCTGAATTTTCTCTGTGGATTGGCTGCTTTGAGTGGGAATATCGTCCTCAAGGCTTGGTGGGCCAGGAGGTGCTCCACTCTCTCTTCCTCAGGAGGAGTGATTTCTAAGCTTCTTATATTCAGAAGTTCCATTAAGTTGAATTTATTTGAGGGCTTGAAAAATTAAGAGCTCCTTTTTGGGTAGAAAGTTTGGATATTCATACAAGTACAGGCTTCAAATAAGTCTTAATTTATAATCCATGAGTTCTATTGGTGGAAATATTTGTTTTAAGTAAAAATGACATGGGTTATAACCCAACTCTTCCATTTAAACTTTGTGATTCTTAAAACTATTTTCACCTCATTTTTATTTAAAATTCAGCCAAAATCTTAACAGTATGTGTAGTATCCAGTTTCTGTCCCAGATAAGCAAATGTTCATGGACTACCTCTCCTTTAGATATTTGTTCCCACCCCCCACCCTAAAATTAAGGATGGCTGATTATTTTGAAACCTCCCCTCTTATGATGGGTTTGAGAAAAGTCTAAATTATAAAGATTATTCAGTTACTTGTTGTTGCTACAGTGGGTTAAACTTTACATTTTAATCAGAAGCAATGCTAGAGTAAACATAAGGCATTTGAGGGCCCATAAAATATTTGTATATTGGTTTCCAGCAGGCAGTTCTTCAAATTAGGGGAAAGACAATAACAAAAAGATTGGAGCAAAGTAAGGATAAAATTGCTCAGGGGATATTTGAATACCTACTCCAAAATAAAAAAATCCCATTTTATTCCTCCAAATATGATTTCCTTTTCCTTATACTTTTTTCATAAACTGGTGATGTGTTGTTTATTCTAAAGATAATTGAAATGTGTACTTGTTCTTTCTAACTGATTGCAATAGATATAAAGTGAGTATTTGTGGATTCCCCCCTGCATAGGAATTTCGAGTACAGCACATTACCAAGCCTGCTATTAAGGACTTGTCTTTGAACCTCTACGAGGGACAGATCACTGTCCTCCTAGGACACAGCGGAGCAGGAAAGTCCACCACGCTCTCTGTTCTCTCAGGTAGGTGCCATCACTCTTCAAGGGACGAGGCACAGGTGTCTGTCTACAGAAACTGGGCACAAATACATGAGACTTTTCTGTACCCCTTGATGTTGAAGGTTTAGTTATCTCAGTGATACTTACAATTGTTTACTAATCCACTTTATTTCTAAGTGGCAAGCAATTTTTATAATACCACATTTTCAAAAGAGCATTTATTTGGGGGGTGAAAAGAAGACATTCCATAAAGATAAAAAAGGTGAATTGATCAAGAATATGTAACAATTATAAATGAGTATACAGCAAGCAGTGGAACATCAAAATATTCAAAACAAAAATTAATAGATGTGTAAAAGAAACATATAACTCTCAATTACAGTTGGAGAATATCAACTCTTACAGGAAATGGCATGACAGAAAATTAGTGATTAGTAACACTAAAGAGATTACCACAAGCAGCAAGCTATAACTGACATTTATGGAAAACTCCTCCCAACAATAGGATAATACCTCTTTTTCAAATACCTATGGAACATTCACCAAGGTAGGTCAGATCCTAGGCACTCCCTTGAAAGGGATGAGCAATGTTTGTGGCACGAGGGAAATTATTCAAGATTGAAACTCAGATAAGAATGTAGAATAAAACGCATCAGAAATGATAAAATGTGGGTAAATATTAAGTACTTGTTTAACATTTTTTAAATTATTAAAGACTTTTAACATTTTTGTATGCTAAAATTTCTTTACAAAACTATTGAATATTTAACTAAAATAAACAGTTCTACTTTGGGGATAGGCGTGTGAAGAGTTATGAAGACCCATAGGCCAGTGAAATAAGCATAATGACTAAGAAAAATGCAAAGACTAAGAAACACAAAATGAAGAGAAGAAAGGTCTGAAGACAATGCCACACCACATTTAAGATATCGATAAAGAGATAGAAATGATAAGGAACTGTAAAGAGATCTACCCCAGACATATCATAGGAGAAATTCAGAATGAGAAATACAGAGAGAAAATCTTGAAAGCAAAAAGAAAAACAAAACTCATCTCATAAAAGGGATTCCCAGTAAGATCAGTAACTAACTATTCCCGAGAAACAATGGAGGCTAGAGGGCAATGGAATGACATGTGTAAAGTACGGAAAGAAAAATAACCGTCAACCAAGAATCTCAGATTCAGTAAAAAAAATTTTAAATGAAGGCAAAATATTTTTATACATAAGTAATGATATAAAGTTTGTTGCTAACATAATTGCCTTACAAGAAATACCCAGGGAAGTTGTTCATGCTCAAAGCAAGTAAATGCAGATGGGAATTCAAATCCAGATGGAGAAAAAGAAAAAAATTAATACCAGCACCAGTAAAGTTTATTGTAAATGACAGTGTGAACGCATATTCCTATTTCCTTCTCTGAATTGATTTAAAAGCAATTGTATAAAAAAGTATATTTATCCTTGTATTTTTGACTTATAACATAAAAGTAATACATTTGACACTGGGGGAAATAGGTGAGTTAACAATAGAAGAATCTATTTTCCCCTAACTTCACATGGGACATATTTCATTATCAACCATATGGTAGTGCATAAAACAAGCATCAATACATTTGAATGGAAGCGAATAGAAAAATGTATAGCTTTCAGTCATAATGGAATGAAATACAAAAATATCAACAGAAAAAAATACGGGAATTTACAAGTTTGTGAAAGTTAAACACTCACTTAAAATAAATTAGTACCAAGCAGTTCTACTCTGGGCTGGAGCAGGGTCATTATGACTCGGAATTCACTCGAGGACAGAACAGTGAACGGTTCATTTGGAAGATGAAATTAGTGAAAGAGAATCTATATGAAAAGAGAGAAAAGTAAAGAAAGTAAAAATAAGACCTTAACAAATATTTATGTAGATTGTCACAAAAATAAGAGAAGGATCAAATTGCTAAGATCACAAATAAAGGGGCAATGATAGAATTTGGAATTCTAAAGGGGTAATCAGACTTTTTTATTTTAAGATTTTAAAACAACCAAAACTGTAATGTTACCTGTGTTTAACTGACAATGCAAAGGCATTTGACTATCTAGATCTAAACAAACGATAGATATTGTTACTTTTGCTTTTAGGATGATCATAGCACCATGTTGTAAAGAAGTTTTAAGAAAATTAAAAACTATATCAATGAGAAAAAGGCCTGAAAAGTTGTGCCAAGGAATTTTTCCCATCACAACAATGCTCATTCTACTTTTTAAAAATGATTTTAATAATCCTTTGCAATAGCCACAGAATTCACAGACAATGTGCATAATTATGGAGTTTAGGAGGACCATTAATAGGTTACATACAAACCAGAATAAGAAAAACATTTAAGGATACAGTCATTTTGTCTGCAATGTTTATTCTCAACCATGCCACTAGGCACACCTCTCTCTGGCCTGCAGCCTCTCAGCTCTCTTGGCCTCTGCCCTGCTTTGGGAGTAGAAAGCTTCCTAAACACGGATAAATGCCCGCAGGGCTCTTCACTCTGCAAGCTAGCTTTCTGCCAGAAGGTACTAAACTGGACTTGTTCTGTGGGCCAGGATGTCTGCTGCTCTGTCTTATGGTCTCTGTTGCTACCGTGGCTCCTGCTGCGGCTGCCCCTTTTCCACACAGTTTACAGTGATGCTGTGTCTGAATAACCCATCCTTCCATGTTCACTTGTGGCTTCTTGCACGGTTCAGTTTTTTTACCCCAGAATCCTTCAGTTTTGCAAATCAAGAGTTAATTCTCCCCAACCACCTTCAGTTCTTTCCGTTTGAGAAGTGCTGGTTTTGTTCTTCCCTTTTGTTTTCTAAATCCAGGGTTTTCCACATTCCTTTATACTGCTTTCCTTTGTATTCTCAAACTGCCTGCGGAATTTTGTTCAGCTCTGTAACGTCATCATCTTTCCTTTTGCTATAGCTACTCTACATTGAAGAGCAGCAATCAGTCTCTCTGACATCTCCCGCCTTTCTGTCTTTCTAATGACCCTTTCTGTCTTCAGCTTGTCTGGTCTTCAGGCTTCAGTGTTCAGTGTGTCACACTATTCTTGAGCTACACTCCCTAACTTAAAGTGGGGTGTACTTAGGGTCACACATTGGTTAACACGGACTTGTTTTCCTTTCTTCAACTTCAATTCGAACTTTCATTTGAGCAATTGATAGTCTGTTCCACATTTGGTCCCTGGCCTTGTTCTGATGGATGATATTGAGTTTGTTGTCTCTTTTCCCTAGAGAATATCTGATTCCTGTGTTTTAAATCTGCCAAAGTCCACATGTGTAGTTGCCATTTTTGTTTTTGAAAAGGGTATTTACACGGTGTCTTAATTCATTGATCTTGCAAAATTCTATCATGCCATCTCCTACATTGTTTCTATCAGTAAGGCCACATTTTTCAAGTACCAATCTGTATTCTTTCAAACTTTCACATTTCAAACACGAGTATATTAATGCTTCTTGATTGTATGTTTGATCAATTTTAGATGGAAGACATTGGTCAAAATGATCATCTTTGACATTAAGAGTTAGTGCATACATTTGAATAATAATAATCATAGCTAGCCTTCTACATTTTAGGCATATGAATATCATCTGACCATTGACAGTATTATATTTCTGAATAGATATTGAAATGTTCTTTTTGTCAATGAAGGTGACATCATTCCCAGTGTGATAGGCCATACTGATTCACCACCCATCTCTGTTGAAGGACGGTGGCTTGCATGCTGCCGTGATGCTGGAAGTTATGCCACCAGTATTTCAAATACAACATAGCTACAAGAGTGGAGCTTCCAGACTAATACAACACTGAGAATAGGATCTAGCAAACTATCCTTGAAAAGAACAGGCCAGTAAAAACCTATGAATAGCAATGGACCATTGTCTAGTTGAAGGCCAAAAGATGAGCCCTCCCCCTTTGGGAAGGCATTCATCCTAGAGCTGGGGATAGCTGCATCCTTAAAGTAGAGTCCACCTTCGTGGTGTGGAGGGTGTATCGTGTCTGCTGATATTGTACAACTCAAAATGAGAAGAAACAGCTTTAATCAGCCATTAATAAGTGAAATATGAACTTTACACAATACGAATCAAGGAAAATTGAAAATTGTGAAAGTGAAATGGAGTGTGGGGAAAAACAAAATTGTAGGTGTTAATGAGTCACTATTAAAATAAATTTAAGTGATATAACCCATTAAATGTGACTCATTGTTGCAACTATGGATAAATATTATGCAAGTATTTAGAAATTATTGTTTGAATCTGTGTTATCTGCCTCATTTTGTGTCTAATTTCTTCAGAGGGAATGCTTCATATCTACTGTCTGGATTTTCAAGTGTTAATAATCTATCAAATCGAGGACAGCTTATAGATAATAAATGTTGTAAAATGGTTGGTGATAATATTAGAATGTGCTAATATGATAAATTATTTAGTGTTTTGTTACTCAAGTGAGTTTTACTCATTCATATTCATGGATGGTTAGAACATATAGTTAAAAAAAAAAGATGATTAAAATTTGCTTATAAATCTTTTACTAAAAAATAACCACTGACTTTTAATTTTTTTCTGTGTGAAATGTTGCTAATTTTTATGAGTAATTCATAAATAGACTATAAAGTTATGGTGTTAATTCATTAACTTTTTACATGCTTTTTGCTTAATTTTAGGTCTCTATCCACCTACCAGTGGGGAGGTCTATATTAATGGATATGACATCTCAAAGAACATAGTCCAGATCAGAAAAAACTTGGGCTTATGTCCCCAGCAGGACCTGTTGTTTAATTACTTGACTGTTTCAGAACACCTTTATTTCTATTGTATGGTGAGCCAAAGACATGTTCTGCTTTCCAGTTCTGCTTGCGTTCTTCGAGTAGATTGCTAAAGATTCATATCCCTGTTCTTATAAAATTCTAATATTTAGTTCGTTTTTTAAAATTCTCTTTTAGATATAAAAGGAGGCAAGGGGAAGAAGACCGCCCCCTCTCTCTATGGTTTACATGTCTTTAAAGATAAAGTTACCAATGCCTTTAAATTCTGGTTCTTTTTTTCTAGATAAAAGGAGTAACCGGAAAGCTACGTACTATGGAAATTGACCATATGCTGTCTGCTTTTAACCTGCTAGAAAAGCGTGATGCCTTTTCACAGTCACTGAGTGGAGGGATGAAGCGCAAACTCTCCATCATTATCGCGCTTATCGGGGGCTCCAAGGTAAGTAGGAAGAAAGGGGTGGAGGAAGAGAGAGAGAAATGGATCCCTACTACAGCTGGTTTTACAAAAACTCTGATTTAGCACTCTCAGAGTGAAAAGTCAAGTGACAATCTGAAAGTCCCTGTTCAGTACCATTGGTGTAGTATTGTCAGAGTTGGCATTAGTCCAGCAGTCCTGTGTAAGTTTAAACTTATTAGCTTAGCTGACTTCATTTGACAAGTGGTTTTCGAAAAGCAACGCAAACTTAAGAGTAAGCATCATGGTCGAAAACACCATGGGCATAGTGTTTATTGATAATAATCGTGGGCTTGTTGTTCTGGTCTTCAGGTTGTGATACTTGATGAGCCAACATCTGGCATGGACCCAGTTTCAAGGAAGGTCACGTGGGATCTCCTTCAGCATTATAAACAGGATCGTACCATCTTACTGACGACCCATCACATGGATGAAGCTGATGTCCTGGGTGACAGGATTGCCATCCTGGTCAAGGGGTCCCTACAGTGCTGTGGCTCATCAGCCTTCCTGAAGCAAATATATGGTCTCTCTCCCTTTGATCACTTTTAGGATACTAATGTCTTAATATTCTTCTAACATGACTTTTGTTATTTTATATCTACACAAAGCTTCAGTGGCTTCCTCTGTCCTATAAATTAAGGCACATCTGGTCAAAGCTTTTAATTATTTTAATGACTCAAATCTATTGTCAACTGTTACATTTATTATATTATCTGACATTACACTTATTAATGTTCAGACCAAAATTGTAATTTTATTAAATGTAGTAATCCTTCCAATGGAAGTTGATAAGTTAGATAGACAGGTAGACAATGAATACATATACAGAAAGGTAAGTTGATGGATTATGAAGGTAATGTCCAAAACCAGTTCCTTGTTTCTTGTTTGTTGGATCAGTGCTAACTCACCTCTATATTTGAAACATCTTCAATCTGGAGAATGTTTCTAATTTTTGGAAATAACAAATATGTATTAATAGCTTTATTCTCGTAGATGGCTACTAACAGCTATGTGTCAGTCACTTTGAATAAAATTTCAATACCTCATCACCAAATTCCATATTTCCTTCCATTTTCCATGTCTTTTAATAACTAGCACTATCCAGTACAATACATAATTTACTCATTCACCCTGCTTGCTATTAGTATCACCTCTCTAGAATATATGTTTTTATTAAGGGAAAATTTTTAAAAATTGAAGTGTACATTATATAAAGTATGAGTAGATCTTACATGTGATGAGTTTTTACACTTCTTTATACTCATTTTACTCCAAGCAATAAAAAAAGTATAAAATATTTCCCTGATTATAGAATCTAATCTTACAAGTTGCCATTGCCAGTTTGATCCTTTATAGATACCTCTTAAAACCACAATGTTCAAAGCAGACATTTTGTTTACTAATTGAGCTAAAAAGCAGTTTGACGTAAATAACAAATCTTTCATGAAGTGATGCAGCCTCCATGAGTCTAAATAGTCTGGATTTCATAACAATTTTAAACTCTGTTCTACATATTCTCCTGAGTGACCAAGCTTCTCCTAGCGAATCTTTGATGAAAACATTCAGTAAAGATAGCTAAGTGCCATAAAGTTCTTCTGTTCTCAGGGCAAAGAGAGCAGTGTTTCGTGGAATTTAGCCACATGTTCCATTTTTGCCACATATTCTTGACTCCTCCCCTGTTACTCCAGGCATATTGCTATCCTTTGGGTGGCTGTAGGCAAGTCCGTTCCCACCTCACCCTGGCCTTTAGAAATATTTTCTTTTAAGCAAAGGTTTACACAATGGTTTCTACACAAGATCTTCGGTGATCTTGGATACATTTTTACAACATCTGAAACAGCTCATGAATTTTGTTCTGCTTGCTCCCCTTCCGTTAATCTAGTGTCCTGGTCCCTTTATGTGCTCATCTTTTCTCTAAAGTCCTTGTTGGCTCTCTGTTACTATACAGGTGGTTTTAATATTTAATAAGTCCTCTTTGTTGAAAAAAATAGGTGGAAAGAAACACAAATTCCATGTAAACATGAATGACTAATGTAACAGAAGCTATCTAATTAGTCGTTTGCATTGAAACTTGTCCTAGAAGTCTGCATTGCCTGAAATAATGGCACAGCATGAATTTGATTTGGTGTAAAGGAAGCCGTGTGTGTGTGTGTGTGTGTGTGTGTGTGTGTGTGTGTGAAGAAAATGGTGGCCACTATAGAAATGGGCATGTCCCTTGGGTTTTCCATGGCCCGGGATGTGGGTGTGTCTCCCTGTGATCCTTTGCTTTACCGCCTCTGCTCTGATTCCATTCCAGCAATAATTTTTCTCCAAGTATTGATTAGGCAAATGCTGTGGGCCAAGACCTTTGCAAGTACATCTCCAAGCTCAGACTAGGTCTTTGAGATGGGTGTTTGTCGTTCTCTGCGTGCTATGCTTCATTATTGCGGCTGTTCAGCCCCACGCTGAAGGGTCCCCATGAGTTGCAATGGACTCAGTGGCCATAAGGTGGGGTTTTTCTTTGTGTTGTTCTGGGTGTATTTTGAGCGCCATCTCTTGCACACTAGTCGACTGTGGCCCTAGGGTTTTCACTGGCTAAATTGAGAAGTGGACCACCAGGACTTTCTTCGCATTTCATGCAGGAGGAAACTGAGGTCCAGAACACTTAAAAAATCATATATTGACCTTAGGTCACAAGTAAAGGGAAGCAAATTTCATTTGATTTTCAGGGCTGCACTTGGCACACTACCACTTTCTTTGCAGATGACCCCTGTGTACAAATCTTCTGGAGGAGCTATCTGGGTCCCAGATCTGCTGGCATAAATAGCTAGTTCCTTTGGCAGATGTCCCTGGAGACGGTATATTTGACTGCTAGCTGCCAAAATCTTCTCCTCACACACCTTCCCCGTCCCTATCTCCCTCCCACCACTATTCTCTGACTCCAGGCAGGACAGCCAATGACAGGTTTGCTTTGGGTTTATTATGTGCTTTGCTTACTACACTGGCTAAGCAGTTGGCAACCAGCTATATGCATTCTTTTGGTTTCAGGGTAAAGTAAGTTGTGGTTCACGTAGACGATTTGTAGCTTCTTCTTTCAGTTGTTGAGTACCTTCTTTCTCATTTGCTCTGGTGGAATCAAAACCAATATTGTATTTTAGATATAGCCTCTGTCAAGATTGTCAGACCCCAGTCACACCGTTCCAAACCAGAACCCATGACAAGCGCTGAAATTGTGCCCCTGTCCAAACCTCTGACAAACACCCATCTTTAGATAACTTTACTGATATAGCAACTAACAAAAGACACGCTAAGCTTGCCGGGATTTTGTTCACTGCATTGTGGGACATGACACTTGATCCTTTTAGTTCTTTGTCTTCATTCAACAGCGCGAGATCGCCCAATCTGTCCTGATCCACAGAAGCTCTCAAATACAGAAGTATGTTTTAGCTTGGTGAAGGATCCCTCACAGTAGTTGATGGAAACTGTGAGGGTGGAAACACTGCTTAGTGGTAGTCCCCTTCAAGGGGTACTTGGGCCTTGCGCCATATTGGCCAAACTTCATATATGACTCTGAGTAAAATAACTTGATGAACTATCCTCTGTCAACTGACAGAGTTACCCTATGAGACTGTGGCTTTGATCTTTCAAACTCAGAAATGTAATCATGAAAGGCATTTGGTTGTGGCTAAGATATGTCTGTCATTGTGTCTCTTAAATCTTTTGTTATCTCTATGTATGAAGGTGCCTACAACCACAGAGATGCATATTTCAGAGGGCTTCAGAGAGTTTGTAAGAAATTTCCATAATTAAAAAAATATTTTGGTGGAGGTTTACATTTATTGTTTAAATACTAATGATTTCATTGGGGGGTGGGTTCTTACAAATCTTATAACAGCCCATCATTCAATTGTGTTAAGCCCACAAATATATGTTGCCATCAACATTTCCAAAACATTTTCTTTCTACTTGAGCCCTTGGTATGAGCTCCTCTTGTTTCCCCTCCCTCCCCCACCTGGGTTTACATTTCTATTAACTCTGCATTCAACAATTCCAGCCACTCATCAACTCCCACGCCTTTGTTCTACCCAACCCTCTCCCTACTTTCTCTTCTTCTTATAGACCTCCAGCCTTCTTTACACCTTTCTATACCCGTCAACCTTCTGTACTGTTGGTTCATTTACTCATCTTTGACTTCCCCCACTTAGGGACCACAGTTTTCTTCGATGTGCAAATCTTTATCTTGGTATTTATCCTCATAGTAGTGATCTCATACCATATTTGTCCTTTTGTGACTGACTAATTTCAATCAGCATAATGTTCCGTGGGTATGCCTAAATCATGAGGTGCTCTCATGGTTTCATCATTGTTTTTCAGTGATGCATAGTATTCCATTTGGTCTATGTACCCAAGTTTCTCTGTCCATCCGTCTACTTATGGTCTTTTGGGCTGTTCATAAATTCTTGCTATTGTGAACAGTGCTGTTATGAATAAGAGTACATATATCTGTTCCTGTTCGGTCTCTTCTTTAAGGTATATACCCACCAGAGGTATTTCTGGCCCTTATGGGTTTTCTATTTTCAGTTGTTTGAGGTAGTACCATGTTGTTGTACATATTTACAAGCCCACCAGCAGTGAATGAGAGTTTCAATCTTTCCACATCCTCTTCAGCTTTTGTTTTAATCAGGTTATCATGGTCCATATAATATAACTGCTCTTCATTATTTTGACTTGCATCTTTCTAATGGCTAATGATGAACATTTTTCATCTGTTTGTTAGCCATTTGAATGTCATTATAATGACTGTAGACTACATTTATGTTCATGTCCTTTGCCTATTTTTTAATGGGATAATTCTTTTTTTCTTCTTGAGAGATCGTCATTTTCCATAGATTTGAGGGATTCGTTTCTTGTTTGTTGTGCCATTGCTAAAGACCCTTAAATTTTGATGCACATAAATGCATCAAAATAAGTGTCTTATTTATGGAAGGTCCCAGTCATCTCTTTTGTTTATGCAGTGTGTGTTTCGTACATTCTGTTTGTTGATAGTATGTCATAGCATGTCTAT